CTCGTCCCCCTCGCCCTCCGCCCCCCCTCGTCCTCGCCGCCCTCGTCCTCGCCGCCGCTCCTCCTCCGCCCCCCCCCCTCGCCCTCCTCGTCGCTCGCCCTCCGGCCGGAGCCGCACCGCTGCCGCCCGCCCGCGGTGCGCTCGGGCCGCCCGGGGCCTCTCCCCTCGCGGGGACCCCCTCGGGCGGCCGGCGCCGCCGCCGGCGTCGTGCCCCGCGCGCTCCCCGGCCTCGGGGCCCCAGCGCCGGGCGGTGGCACTGCCGCCTGGCGTCGAGAGTAGTGGCTCGGGCTGGACGGAGGGGGGGGGACTCTTCACGGCTGGACGCAGTGGCTCGGGCTGGACGGAGGCTCGGGCTGAAGTGGCAGGGGGCACCTTCAGCAACCCCCGACGTCTAGGATGCCTCTACCAAAATCGGGCCGGAACGAAAGGGGGGGATTGGGAAAGGGGGGGGTGCGAAATCTGCTGCATGCAGCTGGTTTTGGCCCCACCGAGGGGCCCATTCCCCGATAGACGGCCGCCTCCGGCGCCGGGAGGCGCCGGGAAGATCAGCTGCGCGAGCTGATTCTCCCCCCCCCTTTGCTATCCCCCCCCTTCGCCTGGCCCGAGTGGCGAAGCGTCCTGGCTTTGCCTTTTTATCGAGGGTGGACAGACCTCCCACCCTGACACGTCGATGAGGGAATTGGCCGTTTTCGGTTCGCGAGAGGGCGTCGCGGCCGTCATTTCTGCGGGTCCAGGGCCGGCGGACTCGGTCCCAGGCCGTTTTCTCTAAGGGCAGGTTTGCTAAAGGGAGGTCTGTCCGCCGCCGATTTTAGGCCCACCAGAGAATGTGCTGAGAACCTTTTTGGGCGGTCTGCACGGAGTCTTCTTGGAGCATGTCTGGCTGAGGCTGTCTTGGTTTCACACATCGAGCGCACGTTCTGAGAACGGTGGCTTGTTCTCAGAGCACGTTGGGGCTCTAGGAGAACGCTTGCGTGGTGGGCGGCCGGCAGGAAGGGCAGGACGGCTGGTCCCTGCTCGACCCTCTCCCCTTGCGAACCTCGGGCGGGTCCAGGATCGGGCAATACGTCGTGACGTCGAAGTTTGGGCTGGGCAGGGCCGAGGGTCAGAGAGCGCCCTCGGGCGGGTCTAGGATCGGGAAATAAGTCGTGACGTCGAAGTTTGGGCTGGGTAGGGCCTTCCTCTGCGGGACCACCAAGAAAGGCTTGTCGCGATGGTCAAACGCCTCGCCCGTGAAGCCGACGAAGAGGTGCAACATCCAGCCATTCGCTTCGCCACATGTCCAGAGTTGTGGCTCGACGCCAGCTTGGGCGAACAGGTTGGTTGCGCCCCTCGACGTCCGTTTGGGGTGTTCTGCAGGCCTGACGCCCCAGCCCTACTCAAAGTTTGGGGTTGGTGCGAGAGGTGCTTCCAGCGGGAGCTCACATCAAACTTCAGGATCGTTCCCTCCACTTTTCCGGCGTTCCCGTTTGGCGAGGCTCGGGTCCCCTCAACTGGAGATGGTGCCAACCCTGGCTTGAGCAGGCACCGTGCTTCGCGCGAGGGATCGGACATTTCCATCGGGCGGGGCTAGGACCGGATAAAATCGCGCAAGAGCGTTCTGGAACGCTCTCACAGCGTTCCAGAGCGCTCGGGAACGGCCGCGGCGCCCGATGCATCCTCTAGAACCGCCACAGGTCCAGGATACTCGATGAGACCCCGATCCGATTTTGGCCGAATCCTACTCCTCCTCCTCCGCCTCCTCCTCCTCCTCCGCCTCCTCCTCCTCCTCCTCCTCCCCCTCCTCCCCCTCCTCCTCCTCCCCCTCCTCCCCCTCCTCCTCCTCCTCCTCCTCCTCGGGCTTCGTCCTATAGAACCTCCCCCCCCTGCCCCCCCCCTCGCGAACCCATGGGAATCCCTGCGGGCACCCGCGCCCCCCAGGCCTGCCCCGAGATCGGGTGCCGTGGCAGTGTTTTCGCGCCGAGCCTTCTCGCCGGGCTTGGGGCCCGCGAGTCTGAAAAGTCCTCCTCCTCCCTCCTCCTCCTCCTCCTCCTCCTCTCCTCCTCCTCCTCCTCCTCCTCCTCCTCCTCCTCCTCCCTCCTCCTCCTCCTCCTCCTCCTCCTCCTCCTCCCTCCTCCTCCTCCTCCTCCTCCTCCTCCTCCTCCTCCTCCTCCTCCTCCTCCTCCTCCTCCTCCTCCTCCTCCTCCTCCTCCTCCTCCTCCTCCTCCTCCTCCTCCTCCTCCTCCCCCCCCCCTGCGAAGCCCCTGCGAGGAGATCGGGCGTCTTTGCAATGCTTTCACGCCGAGCCTCTTCGCCAGGCCTGGGGCCCGAGAGTCTGGAAAGCTGTTGGCAGAGTGCACGAAACGTGCTGCGCGAGGATGGCGCCTGGGGCTCTGGGCCGTGGCCGTGGCTTTTGCTCGCGGTGCCGCATCCTTTTCGCAGCGTCGGATCTCGGTCGGCGGCGGGCGAGGGGGGAGCGTGAGAGGGGGCGGGACTTCTCAGAAGGCCCAGAAGTCCACCTGCCTTTCGAGAACTTGTTCTGAGCCTTCCCCGAAGACACAGAAATCTCCTCAGGCGAAGGCTCCTGAGAAGTTCCGCCGCCTTCCGAGAAGGCCCTCTCCTTCTCGTTCCCCTCCCTCGCTCGCCGCCGAGTCTCGCGATGCTGCGTCTTCTTCGCAGCCTCAGGTCTCGGGGTCTTGCGAGCCCCTGCGAATCCTCCTCCTCCTCCTCCTCCTCCTCCTCCTCCTTCTTTTCCTCCTCCTCCTCCTCCTCCTCCTCCTCCTCCTCCTCCCTCCTCCTCCTCCCTCCTCCTCCTCCTCCCCCTCCCCCTCCTCCTCCTCCTCCTCCTCCTCCTCCTCCTCCTCCTCCTCCTCCTCCTCCTCCTCCTCCTCCTCCTCCTCCTCCTCCTCCTCCTCCTCCTCCTCCTCCTCCTCCTCCTCCTCCTCCTCCTCCTCCTCCTCCTCCTCCCTCCTCCTCCCCCCCCCCTGCGAAGCCCCTGCGAGGAGGCGCCGGCGCCCCTGGCCCGGGCGCGGGGGTGCCGGCCACCGCAGGTGCCGCGCGGCGGCCCCGACGAAGAGCGACGAGGGCGAGCAACGACGACCAACGGCGGCGGCGGCGGCGGCGACGACGACGACGACCGACGACCGACGACCGACCGACGACCGAGGACCGAGGACGAGGACGACGACGAGCGACGACGAGGAGGGCGAGGACGAGCGATGGCGACGGCGAGGACGAGCGACGACAACTACGACGAGGACAAGGGCGACGGTCGACGAGGGCGACGAGGACGACGAGCGACGAGCGACGAGAACGGCGAGCGACGAGCGAGTGGCGGCGACGAGGACGACGAGGACTAGGGGACTCCGGGGGCACGTCGGCTGATTGCCTCGCCGATCCTGGGCAGAGCCCGGCGGGCTGCAGGGTCGGTGTCCGGTGCGTTTTCTCGGCTTGGCCTCCCATGGCTCGGTGAGGTCCGGGTGCCCCCAGTCGACGTGGTGACCACACCGTCTGGTGATCGTTTTTTCATTCATCGTTTTGCCGATCGGCGCGGGCCCTCCCCCTCTCTCTCTCGCCCCCCCACCCCAATGGAGTAGATCTTGGCTGTTTGTGGCGCCCGCTTCAAGCAGGCGGAGTCTCTCCCCCATGGGACGCACGGTTGCAAACAGTCGCATTCAGCAGGGGTCCGGAGCCAGACAACCCCCCCCCTTCCCCCTCTCACCCTCAGGCCCAATAGGCCCAATGTCGAAACGCCGAATAAGAAAACGCTCGCACTGGTGAGGCAGTGGGGACTCGGGGTCACCTCACGGTTTTGGGGCCTGGGGCGATCCCCCAGGCAGTCTCGGGCGGGGAGCGCGCAGCAGTTGCCCCCGATGTGTTCTGAGAGCTCGTGCACGGGTGTCGCCATCTCGTTTTCTCCTCCCTCTCCCGTTGTCCTTCGCTCCTTCCCCCTCCCGACCTTAACTCCCTCGTCAAGTGATCGTTGTTTTATTGTTTGTTTTGCCGATCGGCGCGGGCCCTCGCCCTCCCCCCCCTTTGGAGTAGATCTTGGCTGTTTTGGGCGCCCGTTTCAGGCAGGTAGAAAATCTCTCCCCCCTAGGACCCAGTGTTGCAGACAGTCGCACGAAGCAGAGGTCCAGAGCCAGACCCCGCCCCTTCCGCCCAATGTGGAGACGCCGAAGAACAAAAAAATGCTCGCCAACGTCTTCGGCTCACCTTGGAGGAGCGGGCGAGAACGGTCTGGCGCTGAGACCGCTTGCCGACTCCCTCGTCGGTGGTACATCGTCCCTCACATACTTACCGTACTGGTCTTTGGGGGGAGCAGAGGAGCAGTTTGAGGAAGAGGGCAAGCAGGATGACGCGCTGAGCAAAGTAGGATGCGGAGGGACGACGAGGAAAAGGGAGAGGAGTCTCAACCGATAGCAGCACACTAGGTCTGTCTCGGGATGTACGTGATCTGATTATCTTGATAATCTGGGAAAGAATACGCAACCTCTTCCTGTGACTCAGGGGCCCCTGAACATCAAACGGCAGCGGTACAGCCATAATCAAACACTGTGCTAATAACCAATGCAACTGACACTGCATACACGAATGAAAACTCAATGAAACAAGGGTGGTATTGACACGGGCAGAAAAAGGAGTTAGCACAGATACATTACAAACCACACTGCCTAAACTCAGGGTTCCCCGGACGTTTACCAGGAGACTCAAACGGCGAACTCAAACTAAAGCTGAAAATTCCAAGCTTTCGGGAACGAGACCGAAACAAAACCACAGATACACATCACTGTCACCGCAGGTCCCCTGCACAAACCAGTCAAACTCGAATGTGAAACATACCGGCGGTCGCGTCAGCGACATACATCTCCTTAATTATTTCAGCACGCCGGGCGATCGGTCGATCTCGCCAGGCAAGCTAGTCCGCGCCTCGTGGGCGCTCATCTGGGTGTGCATCACGATGCACATCAGCTCCTGCGGCATCGCCGCCACGTAGCCGTAGGCTGGGTCCCCGTCGTCGTCCTCTATCCGATGAAAGCTCCGTGTGCGTACTCGGGCAGCGGCTGGAACCTCGGCGTCTGCGCATCCTGGTTGTAGCGGCATTGCGCCTGGCACATCATGTGGCGCACCTTCTTCTGGCGTGGCTGCTTGGTGTTCACACCTGTCGTCATCATCTCGGCCCCCTCGACGTAGTGCTTCGTCGTCATGCTGGGGTTCGGCTCGGTCTCAGGCTCACGCGGCCTGATGCTCTTCTGCTCAGCGTCCGTCGTAGTCCAGCGTGTCCAACAGGTGCCGACCCAAAATCCACAGCCGAAAGCCACGAGCATCGCCATCATGAGTCCGAACATGGCCAGCTTCACCAGCAGGTTGTCCCAGCCGTCGTTGGTCGGTGGGTGGAACAGCTCGACGCCGCTGGGCGTATACTGTACCACCTCAGCTCCAGAGCCTGTCGCTCTCGTAGCCGCCAACGCAGCTGCCAAACGGGCTCCATTCGCGCCAAAATGGCGCGTCCTGGCCTTAGCCTTCGCCTTCGCCACGGGTTCCTTCTCGAAGGTGTCGAGCAACTCCTCTCCTGCCTGGTCCAGCTCCTTCTCGCGTTGCTCCATCGCGCGCTTGGTGAGCTTCTTGCCGGCCACGAAGTCGGGGTCGTAGCGCAAGGCATGAACTCCACGGCGTAACGCATCCGCCATCATCTGGCGCGCCGAAAGCTTGGTGAGCTCGTCCGTCATCTGCTGCTGGGTGTTCACCCACTTCCACCCGGCGTTGACCTCCGCCAGCTGCTCGTTCACGATCTTCATCTCGATGGCCGTCCTCTTCTCTGCGATGCCCAACCCCGCCGTAGCTGACCGCGAGGCGTCGTAGAGGCACTTCGCGTCTGTGATGAACGGTGACTCTCCGAGCTATGTCATGGCGGCGTCATGTCCGAGGTCGGGCCTCAGACTCAGGGCCAAAAAGACCTTCACCCACATCAGCGAGTCGGCTCCCATCGCCGCGGCTTGTGCCTCGGCGGACAGTGAGCTCTTGCACAACCGCACCAGCTTCTTCGAGGCCCACTCCATGGCCACGAACGGCGTCGGGGCGCCGGCGTTGAGCTCGTCCTCGGGTCCGACGAAGATCTGATAGCCTCCTTGGGAACTTCCGTCAGGTCGGCTGGCCCAGCTCGCATCTGAGTAGCCTCCAACGCGCAACTCACTCCACGGCCTGTCGAAGCCGAAGTACAATCCCACGTCCGCGTTGGCCTTCAGGAGCCGTAAATCTTTGTTCGCGTCCAGCAAGTCTTGCACCGTCGCATGTCCAGTCGATGCGGCTCTGAACGATGCCGTCGCCGCCGCGATGATAACCCCCTGGGCTGCCGGCCACTGCAGCTGGCCGTTCAGGGTCCTCAAAATTGGTGAGCTCCTTCGGCGACAGCGCACTGGTGGGATCTGCCCGCCGGTGCGTCTCCACGGTGATGGGCTTCACCGCGTGCAGGTACTTCTCGAACTTGATGGTGATCGCGTGGGAGCTCAGGGACTGCTCCACCTCGCCGCCGGTGAAGACTAGGCTCGGCCCGAACTCCCACTTGCCGAACTTGAACTTCTCGTTGAGCATGCCCAGCCGCGCCTGGAAGCACTCGGTGTCGTCCAGCTTGGCGTACAGGTCATCCTCGCAACTCACGTTCTCGCCGCAGCCGATGAAGTCGCCCGCGCGCTTGCCGATCAGCCCGTCCACCACGAACGTCTGGCCGTCGAAGCTGCGCGCGTCGAACGGGCCGTCTGGTGTACAAGCATTTCCCTCATCTCCTTCGTCGGGCTCGCGTACAGCTTGATGCCGCGGGCACTGACGTCCTCGGCCTGCAGGAACGCGGACTTCACATCCGCAGCGAACAGCCTCCACTTCCTCAAGGCCGCCCAAAGCAAGACCGTGTGTCGGCCAAGCCTGCTCAAAGTGGGCGCCTCCTTGTCGAGCTGGCCCTCGGCCACGTCTCGGTGCTTGAAACCCTGGTAGAGCACTCGCGCGTTGGCCACTCGCTTTCCGTCCTTCACCTTCCACTTCAGCAGGAAGCGTAGCGGGCAGCGCGCCGCTGGGTCCACCTCCGCCTCGTCGATGGGTTCCAGCCGTCGTTCTTGTTGAACACCTCGAGGGCCTCCAGCTTGGCTGCGTAGAACTGCTCCCGCCCTTCGGGTGCGAGCCTCCCCTCCACGATGGTGGGAGCCTTCCCTTGAAAGCCAGCATGTAGATCGTCTCGGTGGATTCCTCCAACAACATCATCTCGTCGCCCACCTCCTCGATGAGACACGACTCCTCCTGCTGCGGCGCGAGCCTGGCCCGCGACATGCGGGCGCGTTTTGCCGAGGGGATGCCGTCCAGCTTCTCGGCCTCCTCGATGCTCCTCTTGGCGGACTCGACTCGGCTCCCTCGCAGCGTTGCCACGCTCTCGCGCAGCGCTGGCCCCCGAAGGTGCGGGGTCTGGAGCCGCCTCCTCGCCACCCTCGGCTGGCTGGTGGGCCTCGGGAGCTGCCGCGGCAGCCGCTCCACTCGGCCCCTCTCGTTCTCGTCCATCTCGATCTCCATCGCGGTGTCCCTGGGCGTCGGGCTGCTGCGCGCCCATGTCGCCCAGGGCGTCGTCGTACTGGGGCCGCTGGCCCCCCTCGGCGAGGTCACTGAAGCTGCAGGTTCCCTTGGTCCGCCTCAACGCCCTCCTCAGCTTCTCGATGGTGCTGAGTGGGCTGTCGGGATCCTCGCGTCGTCCTTCTCGCTCTCGGGTCTCACTTGGCAGCTCGGGACGGAGCTGCTCCACCGTGCATCGGTAGATCGTGCGCCCGTGCGTGACCCACGCCACGGACGTGTGCATCACGTCGTCCTCGTTGACCTTCGACTCCACCGCCACCACTTACGCCGGGCCATGCCAGTGGCACTTCTCCAGGCCCGTCGACATCTCGGGTCGCCAGAAGTAGACCCAATCGCCGATCTGGCACTCGCGGCGCGTCGGCCTGCTGCGCGCCAACAGCGCAGCTCGCACGGCACGAGAGCAGTTGGCCTCGATGAAAGCCGCCCCCGCCGCAGCGCGCTCGCATCATTGCGCGCACCTCGCTCTTGGGGTCGACCAACGCAGCCTGCTCCGCCAGGCCGAAGTCCTCGTCGCACAAAGCGCCAGGTACCTTGGGCTGCGTGCCCAACACCAGCGTCGCGGGCGAATACCCGCGCGCGTTCCGTAAGATGTTCCGCTGGCTGGCGGTCATCCTGAGCGCGGTCTTGAGCGAGTCGTCGGGAAACTGCAGGTGGTACTTGCTGAGTTGCTCGCTCTTGACCGCATGGTTGCGCTCCATGAGTCCGAGCTTGTGGTGCGCGCCCTTCGGGTTCAGGTCGAGTGTGATGTTGTGCTTGCTCATCCACTGGTGCATCCTTCTTGACGTGTGCGAGCCTGCCATGTCCATCCTCATGGTGTCGGGCTTGCCAGCCCAGCTGATCCACAACTTCTGAAACAGCTACACCTCCTTCTTGAAAGTCCCCTTCGCGATCGGGTAATCCACTTCGCAGCGCGTGAACTCATCCATCATGGCCAAGATCTTTCGCCCCTTGTTCGTTCTTCCAGGTGACGTAGTAGACGTCGGTGTTCACGACCTCGTTGAACCGTTTCGCTGTCGGCAGTACAGCTACGCGCACTGCTCGAGGTCGTTGCTTGCTCAGGCAAACTTCACACTGGAAGAGCTTGGCGCACTGAAGCCACTCGGCCGGGGCCTTCGCGTGCTTCATGGCGGTCGCCAGCGCCGCGTTGGAGGGATGGCCCAGACTGATGTGAGCGCGCTTGACCTCCCGGATCGTCGACACGTTGAACCGCTTCATCAGTTCCTGCATCACGTCGGTGTATCCGATGGCGTCGATGTCCTTGGAGACCTCCTCGGCGGTGTTGATATCCTCAATGTCGTCGGCCATGCCCTGATAGGCGACCAGGTAGGCCATCCTTCGCGCCATCGGTCTCGGGTAGTTCTGAGCCTGCTGGGCAAGCTTGCCGCGCAAGGCCCCGTGCTCCTCGGTACAGCTGCATTTCATGTTCACGTGGTGTACAAGCTCCTTGTTCGCGGACTGGAGTCGCGTAGGCTTCTGGCACGGCTTAAGCTGACACTGGATCTCGAACCTCGCGCCCAGCCTGCGCTGGTCGAGCCGGCAGTGACATCCAGGTAGCTCCTGCCAGGTCTTGGTCTGCCAGTGTAGCCCTTGCCGCGGGCCTTCTACATACGCATGACGTCCACCGTTCTGCTGCTTCACAAATGAGTCCCGAACCATCTTGAGGAACGTCTCTTCCTCTCTCTGTCTGGTGAGGTTGATCTCCTTCGCGCGTTCCTCCGAAAGCTTCTCATTGACACGTTGTCAAGAGCACCAGATCCTGCATGGGGGTGCGGAGAAGATGTCATCGGGCTTCTCCTCATCGATCTCACTCAAGAAGCAGCGAATCACGCTGGGCTTGGAAAAGTCCCAGCCATCGGCCAGCCTGAACTGGATCACCTTGACCTGTGGGAACTCCAGCAGCTCCTCCGACAAAGCCCCTTGGTCCACGAAGACCTCCCAGACCACGCGTTCGCGGGGTCCTCTGAGCGTATCCCTCATGTCGGTCTCCGCTTGCTCCAGGGCCAAGATCAGGTCTGAGTAGGTGTCCGCGTCCATGTCTGAGAACCTCTCGGTCGTCAGCGCCTCGTCGTCGCTACCGATGTCGTAGAACTCCGGGGCGGTCTCGAGGTAGTAGGCATCGGCGTCTGGCACCGACGAGTCGCTGCCATCGTCGGTCTCTCCCTTCACCGAACTCCCCTCCGAGTCCTTGTCCGTCGAGTCGTCGCTGCTCTCCTCGCCGCCCGTGGGAGCGCCCTCGTTCATGGCGTCGTCTGCTTCCTTCCCAGCGCTGCCCAACAGATCAATGATGAAGTGGCCTTTCTCATCGCGCTCGGACTTCATCCAACCTTTGTCGGGGAGGTCCTTCATCATGAACGCACCTGCTCGGTAGTCCCGAATGAGACCCCACTCCTCCGCGCAGGGCCTGGCGATGAGCAGCGGCGTCCACCCCTCGACGAGGCGGGTGGCGACTTGCTTCGTGATGCCGAACGGCCACACCGACAACGTCACCGCCTTCTTCGCCTCCAGCGTCTTCCCGTCTCCGAACCTGAACCGTCGATCACTTTTCTCATACTTGACCTCGTGCAGCAACTGCTTCACGCGCAGCAGCTTCTCCCACTGCGCCCAGACCTTGTCGTCCATGACGGGCCGCGTAGCGCCTCCGTCGCTGATGCCCTTGCCGACTGTCAGCAGGAACACCTCCTCGGTCGAATTCGCGTACTCCAACGTCTCGACGTCCTCGACCATGTTGCCTGACTCGGTCTCCGTCTTGGTGAACCCGCCGCGACGGAATCTCTTGAACCTCGGGCCGCGCTGCTGCGTTGAGCCCGTCCCGGTTGATCCCGCACTCGATGCAGCCGGTGAGCGGGCGAAAAGGGTCTTCGGGAACTTGAACGCTGATGGATCTCGTCGTGGCTGACTTGATCCTTTGCCTTTGCCGCGTCCACGTCCCTTGCCTATGCCTGGGGCTCGGGCAGGTCGTGATTCACGGTAGTTGTTGTCGGGCGCCACGGCGACGATCGGGTAGAAGCGTCTGGACTTCGCGATCTCCGCCACGCGCTTCTTCGCATCCACGAAACTCAGGTAGGCCTCGTCGCGCGCGAGCTGCGCGTCCTCGACATCTTGCGGTGGCTCCTCTGCGATCTCGGCCTACTCGTCTACGTCTTCGTACTCGTACTCGTCTTCGTCTTCATACTCTTCCTCCTCCAGGTACGTGTCTTCGTAGCTCAGGCCTCGCTCCCACTCGTAGTCGTTTGTGTAATGAGCGTCGTCCTTGGCATTCTGCCCGAGCAGCATCTTCTCCACTCGTTTGATGTCACGCTTGTCGGGCAGACCCTCGGCTCCATACGTGTCGAGTAGAGCTTTCTTCACATTTTGCCAGCTGAGGCCGTCTACGCATTGACTCCGAACCTGGGCGGCACCTGACGGCGGGATCGCCGCTCTCGTGAGGAGGTGCCAGCCCGCTAGCATATCTGGAATCTCCATCCCCACTTCCTTCAGTTTCCTGAGGTCGCGCTGATGGCGTAGGCAGCACAACTTCATGGACTCCTTCTCCTGGCGGGCGAACCTGCCGAAGAACTGATCCGTCCGGGCTGGCAGCTCAGTCCAGTTGTCGTATTTGTAGTACTCGTCCAGGACCTTGAACAGCGGCCTGAAGGCCTCGTCTGTCTCTAGCAGGTCCAGGTCGATCTCCTCCGTTGCCTCGGCCGCCTCTCCTTGCAGCGAGTTCGTGACCAGGAAAGCCCCCTCGCTGATGGCGGTCGTGCCGCGCTTGCGGCAACACCTCTCGAAAACCTCCTAGCTTTCGTATGACAACTCGGTAGCCGTCGGTCTTCAGCAGCTCGTAGCTGGGCGTCGTCTTGGACAGGCCAGCATCGAGTCCTCTTCCCCCGTCCCAGGTCGAACTCTCCTGGCGCCACCAGCCTCCGCCTGTCCAGCCAGCCCACTCTTCGGCGTAGGCTGCCTCGTCGCCCTCGCTGCCGGGGACCCGGGTGGTCGCGGCAGCAGGGTCCACGCCGCTGGCGGCCGAAGCGGCAGCGGCGGCAGGAGGCGGTGTGCCCGGCGGTTTCGCCGGCGGCGGTCCTGGCGGCTTCGCCGGTCCGCGGGGCGGCGCCTCGCCGGCGGGCATGGCGGCTTCGACGGGGATGCCGGAGATGGGTGTGGATCTCCGGCTCCGCCACCAATCTCAACCGATGGCAGCACACTAGGTCTGTCTCGGGATGCACGTGATCTGATTATCTTGATAATCTGGGAAAGAATACGCAACCTTTTCCTGTGACTCAGGGGCCCCTGAACATCAAACGGCAGCGGTACAGCCATAATCAAACATTGTGCTAATAACCGATGTAACTGACACTGCATACACGAACGAAAACTCAATGAAACAAGGGTGGTATTGACAAGGAGGAGGTAGAGGAGGAGCGAAGCACGAGGACGGGAAGGACAAGAGGAGGAGGAGGAGGAGGACCAGAGTGGACTCCGGATGCGTCAACTATGTTGCAATACGCGCACCCGCCCAAGTCCCCTTCTCATTAGTCCAAAAAATAGTTTTGCAATGCTGGAGAAAGCCCCCCTTGCGCTCCGTGGTCCCTCAGGGAAGAGTCACGTTTTGAAAAGGAGCTGTCGTCCATACAGCCACGACGACTGCGACAAGATATGATCGTAAAGTCCAAGCAAGTGTCCAGCGAGTGCCGCTATTGAGAATGAGGCGGCACCATTCCGTGCACGTGTCTTTTCAATTTGAAACGCTTGGCCATGAGGCCTCGATTTGGAAATGAGCTGCCCTCCATCCATGTGACTGCTGCACGCTGTTTGAGTTTCCATCGCAATTCCAGGAATGGAGGTGGAACCGCCCCCAATCCGTTGAACTTAGTCGTGAGAAGTTTGACGACGAATGTGCGCGGCGCTAAGGAGATAGCCATACATTGAAAACGACTTAAGCTCCATCCGTGAACGTGCTGGAAGCTTCCACGACACAGGTGCGCGACGCTGAGACGAGAGCCTCATTTTGTGAAGGATCCGCCATCCGTCCATGTAGCTGTTGGAAACTATTCGGACGAGTGTGCGCGGCGCTCAGGCGAGAGCCACATGTTGAACATTGATTGCCCTCAATTCGCGCTACTGTCGGAAGCCTTTATGACGACTGTGCGCGTCGCTAGTGCGAGTGCCACATTCTGAACGGCATGTAGTTTATCCGCGTAATTGCTGTGGGGTCTGTTTGGGACGAATGTGCGTGGCGCTCATGCGATAGCCACGTTTTGATTGTTGGGAACTGTTACAACAGGCGAGAACACCATTTTGAAGACCACCACCCCTTTCCATCGTGTAGTTGCTGAGAGTTTTTACGACGAGTGTGCTCCGGGCCAACGCGATAGCTAGGATGAATTTACGCGGCGTTTCAGGCGAGAGCCACATATTGGCAACAATCCACGCCTTTCCATCCGTGTGGCGGTCGGAAGCGTTTAAGACGAATGCGCGCTGCTTTATGGCGAGAGCCATTTTCTGGAAACGACCTGTACTCCATTCATGTTGCTGCTGTTGGGAACTTTCAAGACGAACGTGTTCCGTGCTTAGGCGAGAACTACATCTTGGCAACCGCCACCCCCTTCAGAATGTGTGCGGCGCCCATGAGAAGCGCATATAGGAATTTACCTGTTCTCAATCCGTTGAGCTGTTACGAGCTCTTACGGCGAATGTGCGCGGCGCAAAGGCGACAGTCACATTTTGAGAATCGCCCATCGCTTCCATCCGTGTAACGGTTACAGATTTCAATATTGGGGGTCGTAAGTTCGGGGGACGTCTCAGGCGAACTGCAGAGCCCGCCCTACCGACACGG